TTATTACTTTCATTAATGTTGTTATAAGCTACTGTCATTACTGTCTGTCCTGCATCTCTCTCTCTCTCTCTCTCTCTGTCTCATTGTGTCATATGGATTACTGTTAATTTATTATGCTGATCTGTTCTGTACGTCATCTATTGCACGTCTGTCCGTCCTGGAAGAGGGATCCCTCCTCAGTTGCTCTTCCTGAGGTTTCTACCGTTTTTTTTCCCTGTTAAAGGGGTTTTTGGGGAGTTTTTCCTGATCAGCTGTGAGGGTCATAAGGACAGAGGGATGTCGTATGCTGGAAAGCCCTGTGAGGCAAATTGTGATTTGTGATATTGGGCTTTATAAATAAAATTGATTGAAATTGATTGATGGACTCAAAAACATAAAACGGCACTCAGCTAAAAGCACATTAAAACACATTAATCGACGAAAACGTGTACAAACAAACAAGCCGTCTACTCGCTGCTGGTTAATTTGTTTCCTAACATAAATGTCTTTAGAAATGTTCTAAGTGGCCTAAAATATTTCGCCTCTCCATGCGCAGTCATGTGTTTTCTGTCTTGCAGGTGTGAATCGGAGATTGATGAGTGTCAGTCAAACCCCTGTCGAAACGGTGGTTCCTGCTTAGATCGATTCAACATGTTTGTGTGTGAATGTCCACCTGGCTACAGCGGTCCAATCTGTGACACTAATGTATGTTTGTTACATTTTTCTTCTTTAGTTTCATACATACAGGTCACTTGTTGCTGAGCAGCATATAACAAACTTCTAATACCTATAACATATTTTATTAGTATCTATGAAATGTTTAAGCAGATATGAACACACATGTAGTTTATATTTTAAGATGACTAAAGCACTACATCTTCACAATCTCTGCCTTCTGTGTTTTTGCAGAAACAAGCCCATAAACAAGGAATCCCCTGGCTGGTGGTAGCCATCCCACTCCTCTGCTTCTGCGTGTTGATACTGATCATCGGCTTGACCTTCATGGTGCTCACGGCGAGGAAGAAGCGCCAGTCAGAGGGTGCATACAGCCCAAGCACTCAGGAGGTGGCTGGAGCTCGGCTGGAGATGGACAGCATGCTCAAAGTCCCACCAGAGGAGAGACTCATCTGACACAAAGGCTGAGGACAGATGGGTGTTCGAGGTGATCTGAGCACCACAGGCAGGTACACACTGTAAGACTCAAAGACCCTTTGAACACCTGGGCTGAACTCAATGGCATATGTTGTAGGAAGCCCCCTCCTGGTGGTGACCAGGTACTGACCCAGTGCTACTGCTCTGTACGTTACTTCATTTCATAAAATGTGTTCACCGTCTATGTGCTGCGTTTCTGACAAAGGATATCTGAGGAACAAGCCCCATGTCCCTGTGTTGTATAACTCTACACACTGTAGTTTGTCTATGGCAGAGCCTTAACCAATTTAAAAGTAACTCTAACTAGTACATAGAGGACAACTAAAGGGCTCTCTTTCCAGAATCATGGCATTATGACAGCTGACCACCACAAGCACAAAAACTATGGAAAATGGCCTCTGCTGTTTGAATAGTCAAAGGACCATGGCACAGCTGTGCTGCTGGAGACTGGGTTGCATTAGTTGGAAAGCATTACCATTAGATGTTAGCAGCATCCAGCACAGTCCAGCCAATACACAGGGCTGTTAGGCTGCAGTTGCTGTATTGACCACTACGTACTGGTTCTAAAACTTTATTGGAGTGATCAGAATATGTAATTTTTCCAGTTTTACTAGTAATGTGGGCCTTGGTGATGATTTAATTTGTGCACAAAAAAAAGTGTAAAAATGCTGAAAACAAACTTGGTTCACAAATGATGATGCACATGAGGCATGTGACTCAGTTAAACACCACACAAGCTTCCACTGAAGAGATGGAAACATCCCACCCCACAGCTCTTTGAATTCATCTTTATCATCTTGTTGTGTCCTCCCCACCATCTGTTTATCTCAGTGAACCCCTAATGTTCACAAAACTGTGGCTGGTTGCAGCTTTCTCCTCCAACATCAGCTAAACTTAGACTGTTTTCACAGCATACAAGCCTGCATAATTTTCATAAGATAGAAAGTAGGATTAAGAGCATCACATAAAGCATTACCATGCTTTAGAACAGCTAACCAGGATGCTACAGAGTGCATTGGAATGTAGGATTGGAGAGCAGCTTCACAACCCTTGAAACTCAAAAAAAATACACAAAATGACGTCTGCAGTATTCTCAGCTGTAAAATTGGCACTGCTGTCACACTGTAAAGCAGGATTTATATTTCTGCATCAAAACGACACCGTACCTACACTGTAGCCCGACGTGCATCTCCCCAGAAATGTAAAAGCGGATTTATACTTGTGCATCAGCTCTATGCACAGCCTATGCTGTTGTGAACATTTATACTTGTGCAATGGTGTGTCACTCTGCAGTTACAACTCCAAAACACTAGATGGAGGTGGGGTTTTTGTGAAGTGCTGTTAAGTGCTGTTAACCTAAAACACACAGTAAAGGGATAGTGCACCCAAAAATGAAAATTCAGCCATTATCTACTCACCCATATGCCGATGGAGGCTCAGGTTTTAGAGTCCTCACATCCCTTGCGGAGATCGGCGCAACCAATCTAGCACACCTAATGGCTGACGGCGCCCCCAGACTAACGTCCAAGAACACAAAACTCGCCAATTCCCAGTCTGAGCAGCAAAGACTTTCCTCGTCCGTTGGCATTGCTTTGCATTTGAAACAACTACACCGCCAGGTTTCCAGTGCTCGACTCCGGTATTCTGCGGCTGGCTGAGGGTTAGGCTCATGAGCTGCAGCAGCTGCTTCGTCCAGTAGCCTGAGTTCTGTCCGTATACTCGGGCTCAAACAAATACGGCTCAACAAAGAAATGCTGTTCCTCCTCAATTTCAAAGTCTTCAGACATGTTGGGCTGTCCTTTGCTAAAAAAAGACCGTAGTGCAAATTATCTTTTAGTTACTGTGGTTACTGTTGTCTCTCCCTGCGGTGCACGTGTCACGTGATGTAAACACGGGTAAGCAAAGCTCATGCTTTTGCTGTTCTCACGCAAGCGTGCACACGTGAACGCGGAGCACAGAGAAGCAGTCAGAGCTACAGGCTACAATGAGGCTAAAAACAGAGTTCATATGACGTTTTTCTAAACAACTTTTTATGTCGGGGCTTCAGCACATTTGGATCATTATGGATGAGCAGTATGGAGATATTTTGTGGATTCAATTTTGTGTTCTTGGACGTTATAGTCTGGGGCGCCGTCAGCCATTAGGTGTGCTAGCCGCTCCCCCCGCCGATCTCCGCAAGGGATGTGAGGACTCTAAAACTTCACCTGAGCCTCCGTTGGCATATGGGTGAGTAGATAATGGCTGAATTTTCATTTTTGGGTGCACTATCCCTTTAAACATACATTAAACATGGCTTAATAGTGACCATTTCAAACTCAAGCACACAAATCAGCTTTATTATACAGAGCCTTCTCCATAGCTGCCCCCTTCCTCTGGAACACTCTCTCCAAACACATTCGAGACTGCACTGACCTCTCCCACTTCAAATCACTAACCAAAACACATCTTTTCAAAATGGCTTTTAAAATGTGAATGATGTTTTGTGTATTTTATTGTAGTCTATTTTATGATAGTTTTTAACTAATGTAAAAGCGCTCTCTAAATAAAATGTATTATGAACACATTTTCCCCACAAATACAACATGCTAATGTTATTAGCACAAGCCTATGGCATTTTACATTTTACAATTAGGCTAGCGACTAGCGAAGATTTCCTGAAGTCAGGGACAACACATTTAACAAAGGTCACATCACAAAATTTTGCTTCATTACAACTCACAAGGTTCACCAACAAAATATCTGTCTTGTACTAAACACGTTTTCCAAACAAATAGAATATGCTAATATTATTAGCACAAGCCTGTTGCATTTTACATTCTATAAATTAGCAGGTCAAGTTTGATGAGATGATGGGGGTCAAGGGGAGGGATAAAAAGAGGGTTGTTTGTCAGGGGATGAACAGGACCCAAAAAGTTGGTCAGGTCAGGGTCGTGTATGATGGGATGATGGAGGTGGGGGTCAAAGCGGGGTCGAGTTTGTGGGGATAGATGGAGTAGTGGTGAAGCTGGAGTGTTTATGAACCTGTGGGGGTCGAGACTCAAGGTGACGGACACTTCTCGATAAGCTCTGTGCTGTGTAGTCCCCCAGGGTTCATATCCAGGAGCATCTTGTTGTGAGGCAATGGTGCTAGCGGCTGAGCCATTTGTGGTCTGCTGAGATGGAAGAGAGGAGAAGAACAAGGTTTGAGGTGGGAAGGTCATGAGAACTGAGACAAACAGAGGGGAAACGGTTAAGCCCTAGTCCGATGGGATTAGTTTTACATAGGTACGTGGGGTAAAGTAATAATTACCAGAGATTTTAGTCCCGTCCGAATGTTCCATGTCAGTAATCATTACCGCACGATGTCAGTAAAGATTACTGCGACTTTTACCTTCTGTAAAAGGGTCCCGGACAATTACCTCAGGTACGCATGGACACAGCGACGGAGGGAGAGTCACCGACGGAGGAGCCCGCTGCACCAACACCACCCACTGTGCTGTCCGTGATGTGTGACCTGTTCGGGGAGACATACAGGGAGAGTGTTGCACCTGCTGCCTCCCTGCCTACCCTTTTTGAAGAAGAAATGAAACGTTACCAGAATGAGACACCACTACGAGCCGGCCAGGATCCACTCTTGTGGTGGAAAACTACGCACTGAAGTATCCAAACATTGCTCAGATAGCGAGGCAGAAGTTGATCATACCTGGCACTTCAGTGAGGTCAGAACGGGTGTTTTCATCTGAGTGTCACGTTCATAGCAATAAGCATTTTATTTTTTGTGTGTTTTTTTTTTTTTTTGTAAAAATAAATAAATAACAATAATAATAATAATAACGTCTATTATTATTCGAACTCTACTAAATTAATTCGAAAATATTCGAACTCAATTTCATGGTGCTTTGACAGTCCTATCATACGCTCATGATGGCAGGAGGGCACGGCGGTGCGTGAATGGATTTATCCCTCCCACTTGTGGTAGTTTTACTGATATCTCTTATCCCGTGCGAATCGGCCATTAATATTACTGACGTCCTGTGGTAAAGTGACATTACCCCACGTGCCCATGTAAAACTAATCCCGTCCGAATAGTGCTTAAGGGACACCTACATTGGTCATGGCAGGTGACTGAACTGATCAGGCACAGGTGACAAGACGATGACAAGCTAAAAATAGATCCTGATGACAAAAACTAAGACAAAATCTAGAGCGGCCATGGCTGTAATTATCTTCAAATGCCACATGGGTGACAGGCTGGTAAACTCCAGTAAACAGTCAGGACCAGGATGTTTTGCTAGCCAGCAACAGCACTAACACTGGATCAGCATCAGCTGTTGGTGCAAGTTGTGAGCTTTAATTCAGCAGTAAATAATCAGCTTTGTGTGTCTGACTGTGAATGGTGGAGCTACTGAATAACAGATAGCTCCGCTTTTTAGCCGCTGAATAGCAGCAGAGCAAGCAGCCACCAGCCGCAGAACTTATCTCTTTAGGACTCCACTCATTCCAGACTGGAGAAGGTTTATGGTTTGATGCTGTTTAACAGGCAGGTTGGAGGCTCAGTTATCTGTGAGTGTGGATGTTCTGTAAGTAAACAGTCTTCAGTTTCTCTGACAGGAATTAAGGTTTAGTTTTAATCACCAACTCTGCTTTTTAACAGTGAGATGAATAAGTCAGAGTTTACAATGAATCTACTTGTCTCAGATTAGTTATTTGTGGTGTCAAAGTGTTTGAAAGCATGAATAGAAAGATGTTGAGCTTTTCAAATGATGATCAGTAAGTGTGTGCTCGTAAATCCCCCCTTAAACCTGTCAAACACTGCTGGAGAAATGACAGGTTTTAAGTGTGTAGAAATTATTTGTAGTTGTAGGAAAAAAATGTCTAAATGAAATTTTTATACAAACTGTCAGCTTGGTTCTAATTTCTGATACATGAATTAGCCTCACTAGATAATTTTAAAGATCAAAAAACATAATAAAAGAAAACATAAAATTTGACTAAAATGTAATGAATTTTTGTTAACTAAAATTATGAATGATAAAAATGACTAAGATGTGACTAAAACGAATAAGCGTTTTCATCTCAAGACTATGACTAAATCTAAAACACCCATAAAAATTAACTGTGCATGGGGCGCCAGTGGCTTAGTGGTAGAGCAGGCGCCCCATGTACAAGGCTGTTGCCGCAGTGGCCTGGGTTCGACTCCGGCCTGTGGCCCTTTGCTGCATGTCACTCCCTCTCTCTCCCCCCTTCATGCTTGTCTGTCCTTTACATTAAAGGCTAAAAAGCCCCCCAAAAAATCTTTTTAAAAAAAAACAACCGTGCATCTGGAGAATCCATGTGTATTGTGTATGTGTATAGTACAGATGATAAGGACTGTACTTGTATTCACTGTTACAAACTGGGGAGCCAACAGGGGAAAATCCATACAAAAACACACAAAACATCGAATACGTATTTTTAAAATAACTGTTTCCTTTATTTTGTTAATAATCTCAGACTCGTTTTTCCCGTTCCAGACTGTACTGTTCATATATTTATGTTTATTCTCTGTTTTAACTGTTGTTTATATTGATTTTTACTGTAGCACCTCACATGTACAAAGGGAGTGTCTGCTCATGTTTATGTTGGCCTCCTCAGTAGCAACACTGGTTTAAAAACTGGAAAATATTTTAAACCCAGGCAGATGACGTTAAACTGTTTCTGATGATTCAAAGTTTTCAGTATGTAGATATGACTTGTAGGATAAAATGTTGAAATATTGCACCAAAGTAAGTAATATAAGTAACAAAAAGACCTATCCTTAAGTGTCAGTTTGGGAGGAAAAACATTAAAGGTCCTGCAGCAAACTGTAATGTGATGTACAATATTAGCTGGTTTAAACAAACACTGTTTTGTTGATTTTGATGTACAAAAATCCAGGATGTTTTATTCACAATGTATTATACACATTTAATAAAGTCAGAATGGTTTTGAAGTATCAAACCCTCTGAACATCTATCTGTAGTCTGTTAACAGTCACAGGGGACAAACCTTCTCTCTCTTCACCTGCATGTGTTTGGACTGTGAAGGAAAACTGAAAGCATGTTTATTGTATTTGTTCTCATGTATCAGAAATATACCAAGGAGGACTAGTGCGAGATTGAAAAAAAATCTTAGGTTTGGAGAAATAAGTCATAACATTAACAGAAAAAAAGTCACAGATTTAGGCCAAAAAGGTAACATGGTATAAATAGTGACAAAGTCCATTGCAGATGTCAGGTGTGTTGGATGAGTTATCAATGCATGTGACTCTAGTGGTAAAAGTTAGCCAAGGCAAGTTTATTTATACAGCACATTTAAGCAACAAGGTGTAGCCTGAGACTGGTGATAATGAATTAACACAGCTACATCTAGTTCTG